AAAAAAAAAAAAAAAAAGACTCATCCTTCTCAAATGAGTCAAATCATACAAAATATTATTTAATTAAATAGCCACCTACCTCATAACTTTCTTATAAAGATGTGATAAAGAACACTACTTCTTCTTAAAAAAAACATGATTGGAAATTCATATATACTTAATCATGGGTACTAATACAAGAGTTGTTTTTGTCAAAATGCAAATATAGGATCTTAAATATTTTTGAGTTTAGCAGAAGCCAATAGTGTTTTAATGTTTCAAGTGTGCAGTGTGAAGACATACTAAATGCAAAAATGTTTAAGATCGCATATTTGCATTTTGGCTAAAACAACTTTAATCTATCCTAAAAAGAAAGTAATTTGTTAGAACAAGTAACCAAACAACTATGGAAAGCACCTGGTCATGTTATCAAATGATTCAGAGACTCAAATGACATCAACGCTCTTTCCTAACTTCTTTCCCTGATCTTATTATTCTCTCAGTCTTCCATGTGATACAGAAATTGGCCACCATAGGCCCTGGGGTTACATACTTACAACTCACAAACTCACAATGTTTGTTTATAAACATTGGTTAGGATACAAAGTTACAATTAAAGAAGAGGGAAAAAAATTCTGATGCTCTATTGCACAGTAGGGTAAGGATGGTTAACGGTGAAATTTTGTATACCACAAAATAACTAGAAGAGAGGCTATTGAATGTTCTTATCACAGAGAATGGATAAATGCATGAGGTGGTGATACACTACCGATTAGATCGTTATACAACATAAATACGTATCGAAACATCAAATTGCACCCCATAAATATGTACAATTATAATGTGTCCATTCAAAAAACAAAAAACAAACCACCAGACCTTCTGCCTGGATATCGTTCATGGATATATTCTAAAACCATTAAAGGAAAGATTTCTGGGAGACTTTATAGTGTGAGGGGTCAGACTGCTGACCCCACCTGCATCCACGGGTCAGGGGTAGTCATCACTCACACCGGGACAGCCAGCAGACACACGACTCGTGCTGAGGTGCAGTCAGCACACACCCTACCATTCTGTTTGAAGCCGCGCGAGCTTCAAAACAAAACACAGCACAACTGAACCAGAATCTAATGAGGCCATTACGCCTAACTATAAATTTTCAAGAAACATACAGGCTAGAGAAACAGCTTAAACGACACCGTCAGTAAGTAATGAGCCAAATCCAAGATTTGTGACATTCCACAGGGCAAATATCCCTCAATATATGAATAACACGAAGAAAAACGAGGGGCGGGCAATTAGAGGACAACCGAGACCCGGGTCCTAGCAACCGAATACAACGTGGGACCTTGTTTGGATCTCCATGACAATTCGACTATAATAAGGAATTTCTGAAGGAAACTTGAAAGTAGACGAACTATTAGGTGTCATGAAGGAATTACCTTAACTTTTTTAGGCGTGATAATGGTCGGTTAATTACATTTTTATAAAAATTACTCATTAGAGGAAGTTTATGGTGAACGACCTGTTCTAAAGGTGTCGCGCCGACCCCGGGCCGGCCCTCTCGGTGCCGCGGCAGCCTCTCTATCAGGGCGTCTCCAGCTCGCCTGGGCGCTGAACCCCGCCAGCGCGCTCTGAGACGGCCGCAGCGCGGGTAGCCCCCGGCATGCTCCGCGGGCTGAGCTCGTCGCCTAGAGAACTCAAAGCACCTGGCCTGGGTCCCGCTCGGGGCCCCTTACCCAAAGTGCCCCGGACGCTCATTTGCATGTCCCACCCAACAAGTAAACCTCACAGTTCAGTTTCGGCGATGTACTGCCTAGCACTCAGAGCACCAAACGTGCAAGGCTTGAGATGAGGTTCCGTTGCATGAAATTCTCCTAAAGGCTCCAAGGTGTATAGGAAAGCGTGCCGTTCGGTCACCGTAAGTAAAAAGAGCAAGAGCCTCCCGTGCTTTATAAGGCCTGTGGACTGCCATAGTAACGTGCTCGCTTCGGCAGCACATATACTAAAATTGGAACGATACAGAGAAGATTAGCATGGCCCCTGCGCAAGGATGACACGCAAATTCGTGAAGCGTTCCATATTTTGCGCAGTTCACGAAGGTCGCCGCAGTAAACACGGAGGATTTTGGAGCGGTTGCTCGAGATCTCTTCTGTTCCTGCACTTTCCTGCCCACGGCCTCAGCCGCGTGGACACCTACGATGCTTTCTTGGCCTCCCACCAGTCCTGTCGCCCAGTGGGCGCCTTTCCTTGACAGCCTCCACCTTCAAGGCGCCCAGCCATTCACGTTACTATTAAGTTACCTAGGTGATCCTCGTATCTGAGTCCAAATACTTGTTTTTATTGATTAAAATCTGCTTTCCGTCTGGGCAATCAACATTCCTCATAATCCCGTCACAGAATCTGTCCGATTTCTGTAAACCGGCCTTTCTAAGTACTTATTAGAGGCTACATGAAAACAGAAGACTCGTGAAAACAGATCACCCAAATGGGCTTGCTACTTCTGGCCAGTACTCAAATGGGTCCTGAAACTCTTGAATCCATAGGCAAAGACCAACACTGGTCTCCAATAATACCAGCCCTTTGTAAAATTCCTTTCCTCTGTGCATCTCGCAGTCTAAGAAAAAAGAGGGTGCAAGCAACTCCAGTCTAAGATGATGAAGAATGACACAAAGTAGGCGCAAGAAATGAGCGCTAATGTTTCCTTCCTCTAGTAGAGATTTATTAATTTAGAAAAGATTTCGTGAGGATTTGTTGAACAATTCTTGTGCCAGGTGGTCTTCTATTGAACAAAAGCCAAACAAACTGGGGCTCCTGAGATTGTGTTGTTGGGGGAGACAAGACCGTGAGTCTATTTCAGAATGAAAAGTTCTATTAAGAAGGCACAAGATGATCAACATTCTTCCATTTCCAAAATGCGTATTAACGATATATTTGCACACAACATTCCAAGTGTGACTGTTCTCCGTTCGCATTTCGTAGATCTCCTTAAACAAGTATTTTTGTAATGAAAATCACAATTTCGTTATCGGGTGTCACCGTTTTTGCTTAACCTATTTCTTTAGTGCCAGATTAGCAGACACTGAAATGATCTTCGTAGACTGCGCAAAACATGGAACGCTCCATGAATTTGCGTGTCATCTTGGCGCAGGGACCATGCTAGTTTTTCCCGTACCATTCCAACTTTAGTACATGCGCTGCCGAAGCAAGCAAATTACGGGGTTCGTCCACAGGCTTTATAAAGCACAAGAGACTCTCGCCTGTTATAGTTACGGTTACTGAACCGTGAGCTTTCCTATACACCTTGGAGCCTTTAGGGGAATTTCATGCAACGGAACCTCATCACAAGGTTTGCACGTTTGGTGCTCTGACCGCCAGGCCGTACGCGGCCGCGACTGACCTGTGAGGTTTACTTGTTGGGTGGGACATGCAAATGAGCGTCCGGGGCACTTTGGGTAAGAGGCCCCGCGCGGGACCCAGGCCGCGGGCTTTGAGTGTTTGGGCCGCGGAGCTCAGCCCGCAGAGCATGCCGGGAGGCTGCAGTCCTTGCGGCTGCAGTGTAGCGCGGAGGACCGAGCCGGCCTGGAGCATTTGGCGTCTCTCCGAAGTCACTCTGGGAGCTGGGGAGGTCGTTGGCCCGCTAGGTCACCAGGGCCCTGGGTCGAGTAGGGGTCCTCCCCATACAAGGAAGGTTTCACCGATATTTCGCTGGTGACATTGGGGCCTTGTGCCAACAGACTTTTCTGAAGTGAGCCCACAGTTCAACCCTCCGAGAGAGACCTTCCAACGATTCAATCACTCAGTTCTGGAGCGGTCGGTACCACATTCTAGGTTGCCGTGGACTCCGCTGGCATTTCCGCGACTCTCTCCAGCCCGTCGAGTTGCGGGCTGAGCACCTTGCACGAGACGGCCACCCCCCTCTCTCCCCTGGCCTCCAGATGGTACACCAGCGCCTCCGTCCTTTCTACGCGGGCGCCTCTGAGGTCAGGGGCTCTTCAGTCACGCCCCTTCACAGGTTTCTTCCTTTCAACGCTAAAGTAGCCACGCCCCTTCACAGGTGTCTTCCGCTGACCGCTACTTTCGCCCTGGAACGCTGAAAAACCGGCTGACAGGTGGATTTGAGGAATTACAATAGTTCACTTAGAGAACTGGAGAAGCATTCTTGTACGATGTTATACCTCCTTGCACTCTAATCCTAACCCCCTTAGGATCCAAACGTACGGGACAGACCTACTCGCAAGAAATACTCTGTTAGTGTTAAATATTCTGATTTTTAACTACAGCAAAAATCATATTGCTCATATCCCTGACCGTTGTGAGATGAGGGCCCAAAGATCAAAGCCTCTGGTATTTATTTGGTTACAGTATTTCATATATTGAAGTAAGTGAAGGGCAAATGTTTGCCTGTGTTGTATTAAAACGGCACCTTGAATGAGGAATATGGCATATTTACCAATAGCTGGAGTTTTGCTGCATTTTCTCCTTCATGTGGTCCTTTTACGCCTTCCTGTAACAATACTTTGATGTAAAAATCTGCTAAAAAAATCAGTAATTTTGAGAAAAACTTTAATTGGTATCCAATTTTCTAATGTGCCAAAATAGTGTGAAATCATATAAGAGTTTCTGGTATTGCTGAGCCAAAACCAGAAAAAGGAACAGAAAGGAAAGACAGGAATTACTGCTAAACCTATCTTATTCTGTGTTTGTGGTTATAATTCTTTCCTTTAACAGCTTTTGAAACATAATAAAACACTATGTTCTTTCCTCACTCAAAATAATTAGGCAAAAACGATATTCCTGTTGAGTTAAATTGCCCGATTACAAACAAAATGTGCCTTGATGTATTTCTTCTAACGCCCTGTCTTTCCAATAAGCTATTTCTGCTTTGAGACTTCAAAGCTATTAGGAAGCAGTAAATTGATGTTCAATTTTATTATTTTGAAGAAGTACATCAAAATTCTTTAATGTTCTCTTTTAAAAACTTTACAACTAATCTCTTAAAAACTTTACAACTAATTAAAGAATACATGGTTAGAAGAATCTATAGTTAGAAAGATGTTCAGAGTTACAGAGTCATGAACTTGATGTCCCTACAATCTATATGCGCCTTCAGAGTTAGGCTGCACTCCCAGATGACCACTTATAACCCTTTCCATTCTAAAAAGAGGGAAAAGACTTAGCACATACAAGGAAAAAAAATGGTTGAAGATTGGCAGGAGATAAATCCATCAGGGGAAAATATCTTTATAAATGGTTGTAGGCCTGGTGAGGTCCCAGTGTTTTGGGAGGCCAAGAGGAGGACCCCTTGAGGCCAAGTGTTCAAGAACATCTGGGCAACTTAGTGAAACCCCAGCCTCCTTATCTCTCTCTCTCTCTCTCTTCCCCCCCCCACACACACACACACACACACACACACACACACACATACATACTGAGCCCAGTGGCATGCTCCTGTAGTCCTAGCTATTTGGGAGGCTGAGGCAGGAGGATAGCTTGAGCCCAGGAGTTCAATGCTGCAGTGAGCTATGATCAAGCTACGACACTCCAGCCTTGGTAACTGAGAACTCTGTCTCTTAAAAGAAAAAATGAAGTAAGTGGTTTTAAATGCTCAGATGTATACAGAAATAATAAGAAAACTTAATTTTAGAGTCATGGTATTACTGAAAAATGCAATGTTGAAAGAGCTAGAGTGGAATTTTTCACAGGTGATTTATATATGTCCTCTTTTAAAGCACAAAATTCTCCCAAGATCTCCAGTGTTCCTTAAATTCCTTCTATAGTTCTTTAAATAAATATAAACACAAAACAGTGTAAACTCCTTTTTCTTATACCTGTTATACAGCTCTAAAACAAAAGCAGATTTACAAATTTGACACAAAAGTACAAATCAGTAAAATTCAAATTAACAGCATTATTAATTTATTGCAGTAGATAATGCATTTGGCTGAAACTATCAACACTATTGAGTTTGCCAACATATTAGCAGTATCTTTTTTTATTTTTATTTTTTTTGGAGACAGAGTCTTGTTCTGTCACCCAGGCTAACTGCAACCTCCACCTCCAAGCCTCCGGCAATTCTCCTGCTCCAGCCTCTCAAATAGCTGGGATTACAGGCATGCACCACCACACCCCACTGATTTTTGTATTTTTAGTAGAGACAGGGTTTCACCATGGTGGCCATGCTGGTCTCAAACCCCTGGCCTCAAGTGACCTGCTCACCTTGGCTTCCCAAAGTGCTGGGATTACAGGTATAAGCCACCATGCCCAGCCTAAAGCCATATCATTTAATTCAACATGGAGTTAGTATAACAATATAATTTTAATCACCACTATATATATATCCAATCAAATTTTGTTGAAATTTGGAATAGGAAAGATTACCTGAAGTTAGTTTTAATTATTAGGACTATTTTTAAGCTATTTTTAAAGTTTCGGCCTTGAATTTATAGTTAGACCACTGAAGGTAAAGAAGAAACAGGGCTTCTCATTGTGTTTTATTTATATCTGCGTGGGACTCTATTTGGCCAATATTGCAACAATAGTTGGCAAAAGACAAAAAGATTAATGGGGATAGTCAGTGTCCTCAAAAATTTCCTCTCACTCTCAAAACAGGGCAGACAGGTTTCTGTAGTGAAAGAATTCTGACACAGGCATCACACAGCTTGTAGCTTTTCAAACAGGCTCAGCACCATGTCTGCCATTTGAATGAGGCTTGAGAGGGCAGAATTTCATAAAGATGATTAGTAGATACTGAAAGTCACTCATTTATACCATTTCAAAATTAATCATAAATCAAATTTTATTATTATTTCCATTCTGTTTTCATCTTAGAATATTCAAATTACTGTTATACCTTTATTGGTACAACATGTCTGAAAGCATTTGGCTTTTGCTTGGTGCAAATACATCACTTACCCATTATTCAATCTGTCTCTGTTCATTTCTTATTAGCCCCTACAAAGTAATACATTACTCAATCGTATGTTATTTTCATCATGTGAAATCAAAGTATTGATTTCACAAACCATAAGAAACTACGGTCTTTGTAATTGAAAATGTTATTCATGTGTGCATTATCACTGAGAAAAAGAAATTTTGACTTCATTAACAAGTAATTCAACATAAGCATAGTGACAGAGTGGCAGAAACTAGCCATTGCTGTCATTTAGATAGCAGTACATGCCAACCTAAGAGCAGCCAGTTACAAACACTGTCACATTGACGGTCCTTTAGCTAAGTAAGATGACATGGCAAACAATGCAGATTCATATTGAAATCTCATGGCAATATTTAGTTATAAGGTGAATATTCAGATGTTTTAGACCCTGCCTATTTTAATATTTTTAAGTGATCATATCAATAAAAACAATGTCTTTCTAAAAATCCTATATATAACCCTCCAACCCTTAAGAATCTGTCTGAAGACTCCAATAGGTTCTAGATCCTGGTCTGAGGAACACTGTATAGGCTGATATAGAAAATTTTAATTCCTGGAATAACTCAAGAATTAGAAATAGAAACTGTGGCAGAAAGGTGTAATATTTATGAAGCATCAAATACTTGACAGGTATTTTACATACAAGATTGCATTTAGTATTTGCAATACTTCTGACCTAGTTATTACCCATTCTATAGCTGAGGAAACTGATGCTCAAAAGAATTATGTACCTTGCTTAAGTGCGTACTAGTAATAAAAGGAGGTTAGAAGAAAGACAGCGTTCAAACTAAGGAAATTCAAAATCCTAATCTCAAGCTTTTTCTGTTATTCTGTGATTTAATTTAACGTTAAAGATAACCAAATACATCTTTTACAAGGAAAATGTTTATGAACTGATTTGAAATTCAATCAATACATAATAAAAAAGGAAAACTTCAGTCAAGTCTAGATGTTTTAGATTATGAAGGTCAATATCAGACTTCCCAAATGTTTCTGGGCTATCTTCTTCAAACCACTGATGCTTACACATGATATCAAAGGTAATATAATTGTCATAGAAATAAAAGGTAATATAATTGTCATAGAAATAAAAACAAAGGAAAAAAACCTGCAACTATAAACAACAATAATGAAATTATCCTACACATCATCTGTACCCACGTTAGTCTCCATTAATACAAATGATTCAGAATTGCCTTACTGTTCAGGTCTTTAATAAAGTGACTAAATAATAATTTGATTATTTGAATGCATGTTTCATCAATCAAAATCAC